CAGACATTTAAAAAACAAAACCTGAGTCAAAACATAATCTGAACAAATCCTAAATCCTGTGTGTTTGAGTGTGTGCCTTAGTATTGCAACTAAAGCGATTTTTGTAGAGGACAGATTTAAGGCCCAGATGGTTTGGCATGGAGTGTGTTTGCTATAGGCCAACTGCTCACACACACACACACACACACAGATGGGAGAGGGTGGGGGAGACGATCTGGTGAGAAAAAAATGACAGAGGAAACAAACCTAGAAAGACTGAGAGATGTGGTGTTTAGACAAAGATAATCTATCCATCAACTGTATCTCATAGGATTGAAAACCACAGTTTAAAGACAGAAAGAAATTGTGTGTCTCTGTCCATCCATGACCATTATAGATAAAAGCTCCGGGCCACAACTATCTTTCAGACCAGGAACACACACACACACACACACACACAGCTACATGAGACAACTCTGAAAGTCAGTGGTCTCTCTGCATTAAGAAAATCACGAAAGATGCTTTAGCAATTTGATCCTCAAAAAGGTATAGAAGGTAAACAGTCCTTTTATTAACAAGAATACAAATCTTAAGATTTACACAGAGACTAAAATGTTCATTACACCTCACTAAATTCACACAACATATGAAAGAAAGTCTCAGAGCCTCTCTGCCAGCTAAAAATGGAAATATTGACCTCAGGATGACATTACACATGCTCACTGTGTCAACAAATTTAAAAAGGGTTAATCCTTTAAAATTAGCTTCACGTTCTGTCTGAACACACAGTAAGCGTAGTATTATAGCCTTTTACACCAAAATTAGCATTTATGCAGGTTTTTTAAACATGGGTGAACCTGCTAAAAAGAGGCGATTGACCTCGTTCCCCATTGCCAGTAGATGTGAATGCGTGGAATTAAAATAAACCACTGGGTTTTATCATTTATTCATTCTAATAACCATGAAACTGCCATGTGCTCTTCCACAAAGTATGGTCTCTGAGAATCTGCCATTTGTTCTTGTCAATCTGAGTTATGCTCTTAGAATTTACAGTGGGGGAAAAAAGTATTTGACCCCTTGCTGATTTTGCAGGTTTGCCCACTTACAAAGAATGCAACAATCTACAATTTTAATCATTTGTACATTCTAACAGTGAAAGACAGAATCCCAAAGAAAATTCCAGAAAATCACATCATATGAATTTATAAAAATTGATAACCATCTGATGAGGAAAAACAAGTATATGACCCCCTACCAAACAGCAAGTATTCTGGCTCCTACAAGCCAGTTAGTCTTTCTTTAAGACACAGCCCCAATCCCAACCAATTATCTACATCAAATACACCTGCCTCACCTCGTTACCTGTATAAAAGACACCTGTCAACACCCAAACAACCAGCATCTAACATCACCACCATGGGCAAGACCAAAGAGCTTTCTACGGACATCAGGGACAAGATTGTTGATCTGCACAAGGCTGGGATGGGCTACAAGAGAATCGGAAAGCAACTTGGAGAGAAAAGATCAACTGTCGGTGCAGTTATCAGGAAATGGAAGAAGCACCACACCACCGCCAACCTCCCTCGGTCTGGGCCTCCACACAAGATCTCGCCTCGTGGGGTGTCCCTGATCATGCGAACGGTGAGGAATCATCCCAAAACCACAAGGGGGGAACTGATGAATCAACTGAAGGCAGCTGGGACCACAGTTACAAAAGAAACGGTTGGTAACACACTACGCCGTCATGGATTGAAATCCTGCAGCGCACGCAAGGTCCCCCTGCTCAAGAAGAAACATGTACAGGCCCGCATGAAGTTCGCCATTCACCACCTGGACGACTCAGAAGAGGCCTGGAAGAAGGTGATGTGGTCAGATGAGACCAAAATAGAACTTTTTGGCCTCAACTCAACTCGTCGTGTTTGGAGGGCAAAGAACACCGAGTACAACCCAAAGAACACCATCCCCACCGTCAAGCATGGTGGTGGCAACATCATGCTTTGGGGGTGCCAAGGGGACGGGACAACTCCATCGTATTGAGGGGAGGATGGACGGGGCCATGTATCGTGGAATTCTGGACCAACATCTCCTTCCCTCAGTGAGAGAGCTGAAGATGGGTCGAGGATGGGTGTTTCAGCACGACAACGACCCTAAGCACACCGCCAAAGCAACAAAAGAGTGGCTGAAGAAGAAGCACATCAAGGTTCTGGAGTGGCCTAGCCAGTCTCCAGACCTGAATCCAATTGAAAATCTTTGGAGGGAGCTTAAAATTCGAGTTGCCAGGCGACAACCTCGGAACCTGAATGATTTGGAGGCTGTCTGCAGGGAGGAGTGGGCCAACATCCCTGCCGAAATGTGCACAAACCTTGTCACCAACTATAAAAACCGTTTGACATCTGTGCTGGCCAATAATGGCTTTTCTACAAAATATTAACATGCTGTTTGTCCAGGGGGTCAAATACTTGTTTTTCCTCATCAGATGGTTATCAATTTTAATAAATTCATATGATGTGATTTTCTGGAATTTTCTTTGGGATTCTGTCTTTCACTGTTAGAATGTACATATGATTAAAATTATAGATCGTTGCATTCTTTGTAAGTGGGCAAACCTGCAAAATCAGCAAGGGGTCAAATACTTATTTCCCCCACTGTATATCGTGAGACCCTACAAAGAATCGAGAAAATGCCACAAAACTGTACTTGTGTGCTCTATATTGTACTATATATAGTTTAATCTTTAACCCAGCTTTGTTTCGTGTATTATTTCATTATTTGTTGAGTGCTAGCAGACCATTTGCGCTATAAGTGATTTTGTTCTTTCAGGCTGAACCGGCATTTCTTTGTATCCTGTCAGTGTCAGAGCCTCCATGTGAGACACTTAAATGTGTGTTTTTAAAACTTAATTGAGGGCTGCACTCACTCTTTCAGCCCCAAGCGCGACTCACTCTCACTCTGTAGCTTTGGTGTTAAACAGCAATGTGGCAGGTGACAGGTATTTACGATGTTTGTGTGATCTGAAAGATGTAACAGCGCAGATATAAAGTCACACAACTGAAATTAGGGTGTCCACCACTGTCAATAGGAGCTGGAGCCAATAAATACCCATGACTACTGCAGAGTCATGAGTATTGAATGAATTGCACCATTCACACTGAAGACAAAAGCCAGATGTTAGTCGGGGTTTTTGTCTAGTGTGAAAGGGCTTTAAAAAGAAAGATCAAAAATTAACCCAAACCAGTTGATTCTCTGGAGACCTAAAATATCAACAATCAATTTTACAGTAAACTGCCTTTAGATTAACACAAATAGTTTTGTGTCATGTTTGTTGTTGACAAGTGAAAATGTCTGGTGGTGTGAGAGGGTCACGAAAACCACTGGTATTCATCCTCTAAGAAGTCCACAGCATATATCAAGGAACATCCAGATATTAATTTGTGATATCTTGTTTGTGCTAGTGAAGGTCAATCCACCTGGGAGAATAAAAGCGTTTGAATTTTGAAATTTATGACAACATGAAACCTTTGTCTTGTTGCTCAAGCTCATTTTGTTTGTTCTCTTCTCTTGTTTCTCAATTACATCTTCATCATACTTCAACTCAACACAAGAGGAAACACAATATTTAGAAGAAATCTGCAAATAGTCTCCCTAATCTCGTTTGCACACATGCACACATCAGCTAGTTCTCCAGTTTATGTCTATGTCTAAATGGCCTTTCTGGACCCTGAAACATCCTCAAATATAACAAGCTGCATGAAATTAAATTTTACAATTATCTTAACTTAGTAAAGATACTTTTGGGAAACAAGCTGCTTAAATTTCAGGCCTTGGGAAATCATTGCAAAGATCCTCTAATATAAACGCTTTGCAATTGACTGTGTTTTAAGCAATTATATGAGAATTTTAAGACCCTTTCAGACAATCTGAAGCCAAACTACAAAATTGGTGGTCTCATGCCAGAATAAGAATCTCCATCACTTTATGTTACGAAGATTAACATAAAGACCACAGCAGCACAAGGTTAAAAAATTCAGAGAGAGAGAGAAATATCCTGTAATTCAATTTAATGCATGTGCATGTCGGATAGAATTTGCACTCTAATAACATTAAATGATTAAATTAGTGTGAAAATGTATGAATGGATTAACGTTAAATTACAATTAATATATATATAATTAAATTAATTATAATGAAACCAGCAATGTTACTTATTCCATATCTGAAAACGGCTTTACTCAAGTATAATTTTGGTATTGTAACAGTACTTTGTTAAGGATACAGTATTGTAAGTCTTTGCATCTCTGTTTATTCCATGGATTTTTATTTATTTATTGGCCGCTATGAATTACAAGTAAGGGCATCACTAAAGCGATTAAGATGTCCAAATGATCCCACTTTACAGAAAACTGCAATAATGCTTTCAAGTTGCAAATCCACTGAAGTGCTTGAACACAGGAACCAGGATTTTGCTAGTGTTTCATTTAGAACATAAACACAGTGCTTTGATTTATTCAGAGGCTAGACCCTCAGCAGTGTTGGAGGTAAAAGGTAAAAGAGTATAACAAAGAGCAAGAGAGAGAGAGACAAATCCTGCTAAAAGAAACACAGCTTTAGAAAGAAAATGAGGGACGAACAAGGGGAAGAATAAGAGAGAAAAGGGGACTCTAATGAAGACCAGACTACACTAGAATAGAAAAGAATAGAATAGAGTAACCTCCTCCTCGTCAGTTTCCATGGAAACAAACCCTGTTGGTGGGATAGTGGTGCAGAAGTCTCAGCATGAGAGAGTTCAACAGAGGGAGAGCGAGAGTGTGTCTGTGTGTGTGTGTGTTGTCTATAAAAGCATATGGACATACAGTAGATGGGAAATGTTATATGCACACACAGACAGATCCATTATATATAAGGGTGTGACAGGGAAGAAGATGAGAACAGAAGACTGGAGGAAGAGGAGGATGGAGAGAGAGCAGAGGAGAATTGACAGTTATTGAGGGATTAAAGGTTGATTGATGGATAGATGAGTATACCTTCTGGTATTGATCTTTGGAAGCCAAGGCTTCCTCGAAATGCTGCTTTGTGTAGGGGTAGATGGCAGAGCGGTATGGTGTCCCAATATCATTCCCCTGTCGCATCCCTGAACACACACACATACATACACAGGCAAAATGTGAATATCAAGATTTCAGGATTTCAGCTGACGTGAGATCCCTTCTACCTCAGTTCTTGGCAGAGGCAACATCTCATCGTCTGAAAACAACAGCTGACAGCATTTCCAAAAATACAACTTGTCTGTCTTGGCAGAACTGAATGCTGTTTTTCCACTGTGAACTGATCATTTCATCACATATCCTTTCATCATTTCAATGTCAGCTTGTCAGCCTGTCAACTGCAATGTTTGGTGAGCTCAAAGGTTTGAGCCACTCCAGTGGTGTGGCTCTAGAGATGGCAATGTGCGTCAGTCAATCTGTCAGTCCCACACTTTGGTCAAAAGTGAAATATTTTTGTTACAGTGATTTATGATCCCCAGAGTATAATCTTAATGACTTTGGTGTCCTCCTGACTTGTAATCTACAGGTCAAAATTGATCATGACTGAAACGAATGACTTCTATCAGCCTCACCTGCGCCTGCTGACATTAGCATCTTAACATGTATGCTACTGTTTGCTTCTTAACATGTTAAACATATGAAATGTTTATCTAAAAGTGCTAAGTCACTGAACTGGACTTGCTTTAGATGTTTCGCCTCTCATCCAAAAGGTTTTAAGAAAGAAGACGAAACATTTTCACGGATCAAAAGCAAGTCCAGTTGGCCTTCACTTAGCACTTCCAGATATACAATGTGAATAACCTGATTAACTAAGAATTTTCACAGACATACTTAATGTTATATGGTAAATTTCCATTGTTATTGGTAAACATCCAATAGCTGGGGCATAAATACACTATTGTTAGCAAATAAGTATGCTAATGATAGCTGTGCTCTGAAAAGATGGTTACATTTACATTTATTCATTTAGCGGACACTTTTATCCAAAGCGACTTACATTGCTATATATGTCAGAGGTCGCACACCTCTGGAGGCAACTGGGGGTTAAGTGTCTTGCTCAGGGACACACTGGTGGATTTTTCACAGTGGGGAGCTGAACCCGGGTCTCTCACACCACAGACATCTTCTCCACTGCGCTATCATCATAATACACAATAATAGCTTGCTAACAAGCTATTAAGGTTAAAATCAACTGGACTGGTTGAAGATACTGGAAAACGTTTCTTCTCTCACCTGAGAGGCTTCTTCAGATCTGAAAACATTTTGCAAAATGTCTCTTCAGCCAAAAGCAAATCTGAGCCTAACCTGCCAAAGTACAGTTTAGACTGATATTTGTTAAACAACAATTTAGAGCTACATCTGACAAGTGATGTAATGTCCTGACTTGTCCACAAAACAAAAGTTGCTTTTGTTTAAATATGGAAATGACATGGCTTTTCTTCTGGGGCCACCTTTAGGCCAAACTTTATTTTACCTAGTGCAAAATTTTCCCTCACTTTTTTATCTATCTAACAATTTAGTTTTCTTGTGTGTAATAAGCACTGCAGTCGCACCACCAGCACAGGAATAGACTAGTTTTTTTTTCCTAAAGATTTACCCCAAGGGTGCACTGCAATAAATAATAATAAGAGTTAAGATATTCATGATTCATCATAGTACAGCAACAATTTGGCAAAGCTGCCACAATGTTCTTCTGCCACCCACACTATTACTGTTGCTGGTGCCGGTTAATAAAATTGCTTAGTGAAAATCTAAGAAAAAGCTTCATCAAGTCTGAGACACAAAGCTGGCAAAAAATAACATTGTGTTAATCGATAAAATTTAAATCTCTATTCTCCTTTAGGATTTGGTTATGAGTTTGTCCGTGGTTGAGGTTGTACCTTGAGTTGGGTCATGGCTTTCCCAGAAAACTTTGAGTAGGTTGGCAAAGCTGATCTGCTCTGGATGGAAGACAACTCTCACCACCTCAGAGTGGCCTGTCCGACCTGCAAAATACAACATCTGTGAGTTCATACGGGTTCGAGTCTGAGAGAAAGACAACAGAGGTCGCAAATAGGATTCAACTAATAAATCCGTTCGCTTATATCAGCGTGGCTTTTATTACAGAGGTTTTGAGGTCCCTCCAATTCAAAGCAATATACATTTTTCTATAACAAATATTTTAAATCTGAGATGTTTTAATTAATTAATCCTTACAGTAAAATTGTCATTTTTTGGTTTGAAATGACTACAAAACAAATCTGTGGGTTGAATGTAAAGTTAATCATCTCTTTGAGAACCTGAAAAATCAACTCAAGGTCAACTTACTGTCTTCTTCCAGACCTTTGACCTATCATGAGGTCTTCATCATCAGCTTTTTCAACATGTAGATGTTCAAACTTTTCATTTTAGGACTCTCAGGACTAAGTCCTAAGAGAGTCCTGAAGTCTTAATGGCTGAAAGCTCCTGAACAAAGTGAACCTTGAGGTGAGACTGTTCTGTCCCCTGCCATGTCCTAGGTCAGGAATAAAGTTTTAAGCCAGCATGGACAAGAAGTCCTAAAAAGTTCTCAGAATAATGAAAAGTTTGAACAACTGAGCCACTCCGTATGCTGATTGCAGTGTGATTCGACTGAAAGCTCTGGAACAAGTGAGTATGCAGATCTTGGGTTGAGATTGTTTTGATTGCTGCTTTTCCCAAGGTCAAAACTTCACTGTCAAGCTTTTAGAAATGTTTTTTAAATGATCAGATTGACAGACAAAGACCTGAGATACAGATATTGTCCTTCAAAAGCCCATATTAGTCCAAAGCTGATCATGATGTAAAACCATAACAAACGATGACTCCTGCAGACAGACAGATAGCAGCTGGTGTTGGTAATGAGTGTGACCCATTACGCTGCACCTCATCTTCCTCCCGTCTCTCATTCTACCTCTACTCCTATCTCTTTCTCTGTCTTATTACTTTTTTAATATCAGGAGTTATGGATTCCTACGGTAGATATTGGCGAACAGAGACAAAGCAGCGGTCGATATTAAATTAATGCCTCACCAGGCCAATCTCGCAGGAATAAATTCATCTTGGAAAAGACAAGAAATAAAGTAGTGGTTGGAACCAGAACAGAGAAAGAAGCTGCCGGCAGTTGTTGTCCACATAGTGTACATTTAACTGTAAAATAATCCCACATTCTCATTATGTCACTATTTCAACATTACAAACTGACTGTGTGTTTGATTGTTAACTACAGAAGTCTCATCTATGGAAAAACAATGAAGACCTCAGTGATTATTTTTGAAAGATGCATTTAAACACACATTTGAATATTTAATGAATCAGGCTGCTTTTCTTTTCTCTGTATTTTAACAGGGACTAGGAATTATAAATTTTTCAACACTAGCGATGATACGACACAGTATAGATACCAATAAATATTTTCTTGGTACCTTACTTGGAATATTATTACCACGTTTTTTAGAAAGTCAGCATAGCACAAGAGGGCTGCAACATCCTTACGGGCTATTGTGTACCGTCAAAGTGCGTCCACAGTCATTTTACCTCACAGAGCACAAGAGTTGCTGGACTACAGCGACCTTAATTGGCCACAATAACACAAACAAACTAACCGATCGAGGCAGCGGTACATCAGACAGGTAAAATTACTGTTTTTCTGAATGGAGTCTGGTGGCTTTCAACAGAGCGATGTTACAGCCGTTTCTTGTTTTAATAAAAGGTCTATCTCTGTAGGGATCATTTACATAATGTTGTCAGACACATATAGTATCACTCTGAGTTGTCAGTGGGAAAAACATGCACTTACTTACCCCTCAACACAACACTGACTTATTATCACCTTTTAAAGTCAGTATGGCTAACATTTTACCTACTTACACATTCAGCAGACTTTGAGCAACATAATTCATTTTGAGTTGTGTTTCTGGCCTCCTGGTGAATTTTAGTCCAATAGTCATTTTTATTTTTAGCTCAGTTTTTGGTCTCCACCAACTACTCAGCATCTAGCTCTTTACTGGCAAAATTCTCCGCAATGTTCACCAGCTAATAGCAAACACTTTCACGTTACACACCATAGACTTGGTCATGTTATCCATTATTATATATATATATATATATAATATATATATATATATATATATAAATTAAAAAAGAGAGATCAATGTTTTAAAAAATATTGTTGCCATAAAAAATGGCAAAATTAATGTCACACTTAAGCTAAAGTAAATAAACAATGTGAATTTTGCTATGGACACGTTTTGGTCAGTACCAAAAAAGTATGGAGTCTACCCAGCCCTAATGCTAGCATCAGAGCATTTCACATTCGGTAGCTGTTATTAAATCACAAGTCTCTGTCCTTAATTCTTCCTTTAACCACGCCACCCAACTTCCTGCAGGCTGCTACTTGTGGCCCTTCAGGCCTGCTCTCTCTCCAAACCTTTGCACAGTGCTGCACAAAGAACCAACTTATGTGACTTAAAATAACATTTTATTTATAATCTTTATTTTGTTAAAAATTCATAGATTTGTCTGAGTGTCTGACAGATTGTTTTGCTGTGCATTTATATTAAATTATTATATTTGATTAAAGAAGGATGTAATGATTAACTTTATCAATTCAAGTCTTTGTTAAAAGCCAGTGTTCGTATTTGTAATAATTCCTTGACAATATTTCCTTTTTACATATGGGGGGGGGGGGGGGGGGGGGGTCAATTAATCCATCCATCCCTGATTGATTGAAGCCAACAGCACCACAAATATTGTAGTTTTCAGCTATATTTGACTGTAGAGGAAGAAGACTTTGAAAACAAATAAAGATGTAAGACAGTGAGTGAGAGAGACAGAGACAAGAACTGCAAATGAGTGTGGGAGTTCTTTTAAAGATAGCAATACAGGTAGTAAACATTAAAATAAAATCAGCACATTTTGACTGTAAATATTTAACCAACAATGAATATGCAGATCAATCTTGCTGTTTTCTGTCTCTCTTGAAAATGGAAATGTGTGAGGAGCACTTCATTTAGCCAAGTCTCATCTTTTAGTGCTCTGCCAACATACTGTGCTAATTAAAAAACACATCCAGCAGTTCAAACCAGGTTGAAAACATTTTTGTTTTAGAAACGGTGAGAGCAAAGAGGTAAGTGTGTAGAGACGGTTTCTTCATCAGCAGGCTAGTTTAGAATAAAGTATAACAAGTGTTATACAAAATAATGTGACATAGGATTACAGGATTAAGATAAAAAACTAATTTGTACTACAACAGTTCGCATTCACAGGGTTTTCAGAATGCTTGTTAGAAAGTATCTGTATTATAAAATGTATGCAGTTTGCAGATGTATTTCTATATGAAATGTAGACCTACAGACTGTGGGTCATATCACAATTAAAGATGAAAGAACCAAATGTGCAGAAAAATAGAGGTAGTTGGAAAGTGTGAAATGTGTGCATAACACACTCAACCGTGACTCCAAACCCAGCCATGAGTTTTGTGAACTGATTCCCCTCTGCTGAAAATACTCCACAACAGATAAATCACAGACTCACCCTGTGTTCTCAAGCATTTCAAATGTATTCATGCATTATTTTACCCAGATTTACCAAATCAGCATGCAAGAGAAATGCAGGAAAACAAGCCCACTGGATGCTCCCTGGATGTAACAGATAATATACAGGCCTGCAGCTAATAAGCATTTTTATTATCAATATTTCTAAACTATTCGTTATTATAGACTCCCTATCTCAACAACTATTGGATGGAATGATATGAAATGTGGTGCACGCATTCATGCCCCCCTCACGATGATTTGTTCTTTTTAAATTATTTAATTAATACAATTAAATTTTTTATTTGCTTTTTTTATGACTACTTGTAAAAGTATTAGCTGTACTTTGTGTTTACGGCTAATTAACAAATGTTGGCATGCTCACATGCTAAATTAAGATGGTGAATATGAATAACATTATTACTGCTAAATCAGCATGTTAACACGGTGATTTCTTCATTTTTACCATGTTAGCATACTGACGTTAGCATTTATTTAGCTAAAAGCACTGCAAAATCTGAGAAAATCTTAACAAGGCCGCTAGCATGGCTGTAGACAAGTTTAATCTTGTTACATTACCTTTGGTCCTACTGTAGTTTATAGTATCTCGGATTTTTTATCACTATCAATTAATTTGTTGTGTTTTTTCCAATACTGCTTTCACAAACTACATTGGCCAACTCCTGTCTTCAGCCTTTATTTGAAGAGTGTTATCTCACTTTATCGCTGGGCACCAACATGCTTAATGAGGACAGAAAATATCTATTAATCAACAAGTCTTTTCAGCTCTACATTGATATGACTGTTTGACAGTTTTTTGTTTATGTTCTTACAAAGTGTCTAGAAGAATAAAAGTAAGTTAGACAGAAAATGAGACAGGTGGGTATGCAGGTCTATGGATGGATTCACTCTGTACTGGCTGGCTGAAGGGATCACTGGGAGGTCTGGACATGCATCACACAGAAACACAAATACAGTCTGCTCAGAGTGGTCAGGCATCAATAGCACCCTTATCCATGCCCCAGTATAATGGGACCTGGGGGAAATTATTCACTCTTCTGTTTATGTGTGTCCTGTTTTCCACAATCTATTGACTCTCAGTAGACAACACACTGACCGGTACACTATGTGTGAATGTGTGTGTGTGCAGAAGCTACCTGTGCAGACTTCCTTGTAGGTGGGGTTAGGTGTGTATCCTCCCGCGTAGCCCACTTGGGTGGAATAAACCCCTTTCTGTCTCCAAAACCTCCTCTCAGCTCCCCAGAAACAGCCCATACCTTCAAAAAAAAGACACCAAAACTGTGGCAAACCAACAGACAACAGACTTTAACATCCCGTCCATGTTAATAGAGAGCAAGACAGAAAAGGCCTGATCACACTACGTATAACAGTTGTGTATTTACTTAGCTTTAGAGCATGTAGTCAATTAATCAATTAGTCGAGCAAGAAAATTAATCAGCAACTATTTTGTTATTTTTCACAAAACTATTAAACATTCTCTGGTTCCGGCTTCTAAAACATGAGGATTTGCACTTTTCTTTGTCATATATGATAGAAAATTGAATTGAAGACATAACTGTGACTGCAGAGACTCATTTAGAAATTCAGTTTTTTCACAATGAACATATTAGCATATTTATTTAATCAATTGATCAAGAAAATTATTGATTGATTATGAAAATAATCATTAGTTTAGCTCCTTTTACTTTCTGTTAAAGGAGAAAACACACAAAGGTTCAGACATGGTCACTTTGAAGGTTGAGTATTTACATGGAGGCCAGTGACAAAAAGTTAGATGCAGTGCGATTTAGATTCAGTCTTGAACCAAGACATGATTTTAGATTTATACACATAATGATATGATAATAGTTCAAATTAGCTTAACTACTGTTATAGTAGCTACCGCTTAGAAATGTGTAGAGTATTCTGAGCTAAAAAATTAAACACTGTGTGCAGGGCTTTTACATACACCATAATTGTGCATCAATATAAAGACATTTGCTTTGAGAAAATTTGAAATCTGTAAATTTGCAATGTCAATGCAATTAAATTTTCATAACATAACGTACAACATGCTAGAAGACACTTACCAAATATGGCCATCTCTGTCCCCTCTGGGAAAGGTGGAACTGTCCTGTTGCCGTTCACATCGTGTTTGGCTGCATGAAAAGAGACAGAGACAGAATGAGAGGTTGTGAACATTAAAATAAAAAGGAAGATCAAAAAATGACATGTACATATTAACACCTGATCTTTACTAATGAATAAAAACAGAAGAATGGAGAATATAAGAGAAATGTCTTTTTGATTACTATATACTGAAAATGCAAAAGGTTTGCTTAACATTCTGTAACCCAACATGTAACCTACATTATTCTTATTCCTCAATCCTGTCACTCACTGGGTCAGAAGAAGACAGCAAGGTAAGACTGTTTTCTAGCTCCACTGACACTAACTGAGGCTTTAACAGGCCTGGACTGGAACTGACAACCAATATTTTCTATCTCTTTAAATTGTATAAACTCAGCTTTCCCACCTTTTCTCAGTGGAAAAGCTTCTGAAACAGCATTAGGGCTGCTCAAGATCTAATTTCACTCTCTACTTGATCCATTCAAGTCTGTAGGTTTCACAAACTGGACAGGTGATGACTTCCAAACAGCTCGCCTTATTACAATAAAATAAAAAATATGTTTCTGCATAAGACTCCATCAGCAAAACAACAAAAAACATAGCACTGAATTCACCTTAGACCACCCGCCCACCCACAGTGACCCACTTAAACAGTGGCGAGCAGCTCTGTTTAATTTCATACGAGCTGCACTCACCCCAATCAACACAGAGCCAGATGTGTACAAGGACCCATTTGAGGCCATCCAACCACCTGGCTGAGCTGGAGGCTGTGTGTGTGTGTGTACAGATGGCTTGCTGTACAATGCTGTGAGGGAGGGAGATGGATTAAAATAAATTGGATGGGGTAGAATGAGTCTGAACCCAACATCTGGATCCCCCCCTCCTTATGTCCTCCCCCATCTTCTCACACACACACACACACACACACACACACTCTCTTCGTGCATGGAAGCATAATTGTTGTGTGTGGCAGCATGCCTATAGACAAAAGCAGCCAGATGGATACTGCCAACCAATCGGCAGGCCTCCAAACAAACACACATACATCAAAGCATGATTTGTGAGGAAGACTTCATCTTGCCCATCACTATAAATTCTGTATTCTCAAATCACTGTGCTAAGATAATTTAAACTTGGTACACACATACACACACACACACACCATCATCATCTGAATCTCTCTGAGTTGTCCTTGTTTGTCTGATTACATGAGCAGCCTCTCATCCTGCTGAAAGACAGCAAGTGTCAGTACGATTGTCTGACAGAAATCTTCAGAGACTATTTCTCATCTTCCTCTTTAGTCTGAGGGAGGAAGGTTTGCAGAGCTGCATTCGTTTTCTATCTTGATTTGGTGTTGGGAAGGGAAATGATTGTAGCTCTTCACCCCCGGCCCCTTTACAGTCTTCTTTTAATTTAGGTTCCCATCATACAGTATACCTATTGTTAGTGCTGTCAGGTTGAACATAATGTTTGCTTTGGATCCACATAAAAAAATGCTACTGTGTGTGTCCAGCCCACTGCGTTGAAGGGGAAAGAGTCATCCCATCATTTTAAATGAAAATAAATATTAAATAAGCCTAATCCTACAATGAAATCTAATTAAATACTAAATAAAACCTTATTTAAAAAACATGTTTCATAAAAATAGATGTACTACAATGCTTCACAAGAGATGAAAAAACAGGCAGCAGACAGGTGCAAAAAGTAGACACATTAAAACCAGTAAAGAACAGTAAAGTTAAATCAAACAAGGAAATACATATAATAATAAAAATATGATTTGGGAGAATGAAATAAAAATGCTAAAAGCAATTTTTTTAGCAACAGTTTTGCTGTATTTCCATGTATCATTTTGTGCATTTTTTATGATAATGTGTCAGCAACAGTTTGCTTGATTGGTTGACCATTACATCAATATGATGTCAGCCCCTGTAGGGTTTGAAACATTGTCTGTTCAGATAAATAAAAGTGTGTGAGCTACAGTACAATCTAGTATGGGGATACTCTCTGCCTTTTCCAATCCTAATATCCGTAATCAAAGACTCTGAGGCTCAGAGACTTTTCATAATATTATAGAATCCTGTTGTTCAGTTGAGTCACATGTCCCATTATCAAAATACAGCTCCTATTGTAAAAATACAGCTTTTTCACACTGTAAAAAAAACCAAACATTAAGATTACTACCAATGACCTGGAATTTAAAGCTACTGAAAATCAGCACAACCTACTAGGCCTCACTGCAAAAAGGATTAGCCTTCAAGACTTTAAATCTCCATGATTTCAAAGGAAAATTTACGATCTGCATCTTGATGCCAGTACAGATACTCTTCCTCCTCCTCCTCTTTCCACATTATCCTCTGTGTGTGTTAGTAATGGCTGCCTTCAGGGACCAGCGAAGGCATGTTCATCACACACACACACACACACACACACACACACACACACACACACACACACACACACACACACACACACACACACACACACACACACACACACACACACACACACACACGGAGAGATAAACAATTTAAATGTAAATGTCAGTGCGGGGAAAGACAATAAGTCCAGACAGAATGCTAATGAGTCTAACAGCTCTGTGTGTGCGTGTTTATAAACACGTGTGTTCATGGAGAGAATGAGTACGAACAGAACAAAAGCTGGAAGAATAAGATGCAGAACAACTGTCTGTCATGTACTTACGGAGCCTCTAAACTAAAATGTACAAACCTTTCTTAGATAACAACTGCTGATAAACACCAAACACCAACACCTGCACAGTTATTTCTGGAAAGATCAGAATCAGAGCTGATGAAACTACAATGTTTTGATCAATATCAACTGGTAAATGCGCACTTGTTATAAAGGGGCAGAATTCATGTGATCACAGTCAGATAATTGAGAAAAAGTTATTTAATTTGTTTACTGGCTCTGTCACTTTCCTACACAAGACCTGATGTTTGGTTCCAGCATTGCAAAAAACACTCAATTATGTATTAGTTCCCACAGAAGCATTTGATTTTTGAGTTTGGATTTCTTTTACACTAGCTAACTAATCAGTTGCACGCTGCGATTTGAACATGTTTTTTTGCGAGCATTTTCACAGTTCCTCTGGTGCTACATGGGGAAAACAACATTTTATCAGTGGCAGGTGTTTCAATTTTTCTGTGCTATTAAATAAAACATGTAAGCACATTAAAACCATTTTGACTGCAAAGAGAAATGGAGGAAATGTGAATGTTGTAATTGGCCCAAAAATATTCCAAGAGGATAATGATTCAAAGCCAGAAAATGTACATTGTGTGTATTGACATTTTGATTCAAATGAAGCAGCCCCAGGGTAACTGTATGATGCTGAATGAATAGTTTAATGATAAGAATGAGATCAACACCACTCTCACGTCTGTCTGTCACGTATTAAGGATGGAGCAAGAACTAGGAGGTGATTAGCTTAGCTTAGCATAAAGCTGGCCCGGCCCTCTCAAAAGATTCCTTATCAACATGTCCAAAAAGTTCACTGATTAACACGTTGCAAACAGAAGTGTAAAATTCATCTCTTCGCCCAGCACCTCTGCACAGCATCTCTGCCTATATCGTGGTGTTGCCAACTTCACCAGGAGGATGTTACACACCTGACGTTCACCCCATATCCCACAGTTGCAGTCACACTGTGGATCTTTCACTGGCTTCCACCCGTACCACTACCATGAATCAGAAATCACTTCTGGAAACGCTATTGCTTTCTGCTGCTGGTCAGAGCAGCAAACATATAATAAAACAAAATAAAATCTTCCTAATAACTACATGGGGCCAAGACGAGGGATAAATAATTTCCCAAACACAAGACAGAAGAGATGGAAAATAAATACCTTTTCAAAAACATTCATTAATATTCTACAGTTATCTTTTCCTTGACACACACACACACACACACACACATTTATTTTGTATATACAAAGGTATTTTTCTGGAGAGTAATTATTCCATGCAGCATTCCTTTGAAATGCCTGTTCTCGTGGTCGCCTTCATCTCACTGGGAACGATAACAACGCTTCTTGTTGATTAATTGAATTCAAATTCTTGTGTGAGGTTGAATCCAACAGTATGGGTGCAATGTGTGTGTGTGTGAGTGAGACAGAGACTCAAGACTATGGGCTTGTTGTATTTTTCACAGCATTGCTTAACCTTGCATTAGCAGACTGAAGGAACACAAGATATTGAGGATGTGCATCTAAAACTAAACAAACAAAATATCCTGTTTCTCACACTGCACATCTGACACCGCTGTTGTCATTTAAATAGAGGAAAAAAGATTGCAGATTGTTTTAGTTCCACGTCTTGTTTCCATGAGCAGAATAATTTTAATCAAACTGTATAAAAGCCAGATTCTGTTTGTACTGGCAACTAATTTTCTTTTATTTGGCAGTAAAGAGCAGTGAAAGAGGTTAGAAAGCACTTCAGGACACTTCACATCAAACAGCTAGCCACTTCATTTTAGGTACAAAGTGTGTGTGTGTGTGTGTGTGTGTGTGTGTGTGTGTGTGTGTGTGTGTGTGTGTGTGTGTGTGTTCCACAGATGTCGCTGTGGATAAAGGCCTGTTCTGTGATCGGGCTTATTATTGTGACAGGATTTAGGGAGCTGTAGAAGAGACTGGGGGGCAGGCTGGTTACTCACACACCCTTGCACACACACACACACACACACACACACACACACACACACCCTTGCACACACACACACACTCTCCATTAGTGCTGCTCTATTTCATCTCAGTCCTGTATGTGAGTAAAGACAGGCAGCACCAGAATCAGCCAATCAGCACTCCATACACTCTGTTTTATCTTAACGTCCTTCATCACTTTTTAATTTTCTGCAGTGAAACCACAGATAACAAAACAGAGACTGATAAAATATAAAAGATTAAGCTAAAATAAACAGGTCAGCATTGAATTTATTGTTGTAAAATGACAACATACTGTATCATTACCTTAAAGATATAGATCTTAGCCTACTCACGGTGGATGAATG